ATGAAATGGTAGAAATGCCAAACAACTAAGATGATGCTCTATTTTTGCATAGGTAACCTGGTGTTAAAAAGATATAATGTGTGTGTGTGTCTAGACTGCTTCCACGGATGTTATGACTCACCAGAAGAAAATAGTGATCTTCAGGTTCTGCGCGGAGTACTTTATAGATCACCTGTTCCATAAAGCGTTGCATCAGATCCCAATCCTCGATTATCCCATGACGAATAGGCCACTACACATCACCGAAAAGACACAACGGAACAATGAGGGAAGAGAAAGGGTGATGACCGCATTCATCTCAGCTTCATTGAAGTATTTGATACGCAATTATCCGAACGTCTGTACTACACGGACAGACACAATTTGGCACAAATAAATCACACACACACACACACACACACATATATATATATATATATATATATATATATAGTACTGATACACTAGTGGGGTTATTTTGAAACGAGTTTATTGTGAAATAGGTCCCTAAAGTTTACTTGTCAACAATGACTTTGGTGATTTAGGATCCAGCTAACGGTCGGTAAAATCAGCCATCAGCAGTTTAAATGGGCCACTACATCAGTTCAGAGAGAGATCAACTTGAAGCTTTTTCCATCTTTGTAGAAGTCATCATTATCATCATCGTACGGCGAAATACAGTGAGGCGAACTTCACCGATCGCTGCCAAACTCACAATGCATACAAGGTTAGTGGTAAAATTTAAGTTGGATGGGGATTGGATCTATTTTGAGGGAGGGAGAAGAAGATGAGCCACTATGGTCAACACACAGAGTACGCAGTCGAACTCTGCATACATACCGTTTCAAGCATTCTGACCTGATAAGAAACGACAACAAGAAAGCCACTGCTGTCGGTTCACTGCCATATCCTTAGTGTATCCAACCAACCAGTTGTGAAGTCTTTCGGACTCCAACCTGGAAGACGGGAGATATCTACTCTACCTACGAGTTCCGAGCATTTCTCCATGCCTCATTTCCACGTCATCTGTTGGCCTCCACGTGGTTTCCCCCAGCCCGGAGAGGTCACAGCGAATAAGGCGCGGTGCGGTAGACGGTAGCCGGGCATACGCAATACGTGCCCTAGCCAGCGAAGCCTACTAATCTGAATTCGATGCGATAGCAGGTTTATGCCTGACAGACTTCCAAACACACGATGACTTATATCCAGGTTACTAACCCTTTTGATCCATCCCAATTGGGCTAAAACCTCTAACCGATGGATATCTTCTACTCGCAAATTCAAGGTTTCACAACAATAAAGCAGGACTGAACGAACGCTAGCACAATATACACGACCTTTCAACTTCAGTGAAACGTCGCGTCTACACCAAAAGTGTTTCAGTCCTGTGTATGCTGCTCAAGCCTTGGAAATGAAAGCGGCTATCTCCTCTGCTGCGCTTCCTCCACTGGTCACGCAACTACCCAAGTATGAAAAGTTTCACTACAATTAATTCCTGGCCCTTTAGTTTCAGAGCGGGGTTGGGCGACACCCAGTCATGCAGCATCACTTTGTACTTTGAAGGTGCAAATCACATACCGAATGTGGCCACTGCACTTAACAATCTATCAAGTGCACTTTGCGCGTCCTCCATACATTCGAACAGACAGACGATATCATCGGCGTACTCCAAATCGCATAGCTTTTCTCCAGCTGTCCATTCAATACCTACGTTTTGGAGTCCCCTTAGTGCGCTCTCCAGTATTTCGTCTACGACAAAATTGAACAGGAACGGTGAAAGAGGGCACCCTTGACGAACGCCTCTGCTGGTGACGAACAGCCTACTTAGTTCGTTGTATACCCTTACACGACCGGAGGTATGTGAATACATTGACCTCAGTAGGTTAACGTACTTATGGGACATTCCTTTTCGAAGAAGGTAGCCCATCAGAGCTTCGCGGTCAACTGAGTCGAAGGCTCCTTTCAGGTCAAGGAACACTGTGATCGCTGGCCGACGGTGAGTATGACGCAGCTCAAGGATCTGACGCAACGTAAAAATCTGATCAATACATCCACGGCCAGGCTGGAATTTGGCTTGCTGTTCACGGATGTTGATCTCTCTTAAAGGAACCAGACGCCGAAGTATGACGGAGGCCAGCACTTTGGTGACGATCGGGATCAAACTGATCCCGCGGTGGTTTTCGCAATCATTGAGAGATCCTTTCTCGAAAACGGGAACGATCAGTGTTTCGCTCCAAGATGAAGGATTGCGTTCTAGTGCCCAAATATTGCGCAATACGGTAGTAATAGAGCTTGAAAAGAGTGGAAGGGAGTTCATCAGGTCCCGCTGCCTTTCCTCACTTCAGAGCTTGAATGCAGGACCGAACTTCTGCTTCTGTAGGAGAATCGCACGACACTTTCCAAAGAGCTTCGGTTACAAATGACCTGTATAATGACAGGGCAATTGAACTGTTCGCTGAAGTATTCCGCCTAGCGGTCAAGTCGTCCATACCTATTGTGAATCGCTTGTCCACTCTTGTCGCTGGCTGTTTCACTAACTGAGGTTTCGCCGACCGCCCATATTGCGTATCAGTCGGAACAGTCTTGATTATTCCCTGATGCGGCTACTAATTCCATTTCACTAGCTGTTGTTGCCCACCAGTTTTCACGGTCCTTCTTGAGGCTCTTCGTCAGTCGACGTTGAAGACGCCACCTAACCCTGTTTCGATCCTGGCAGGTCGGGATTTGTCATTTTTAATCCGTCAGTGCTGCAGACTCATCAGATATCCAATGCCTCCGACGGGTTTGAGACTCGGTCCCACAAGCAACATTCGCAGCTGAATGCATGGCTCACCTTATCTGATTTCACTACTCATTCACGTTGAGGCGCGCTTAGCTCACGCACTAGCTCTGACTCATGGCGTGCACGAATGGCTGGAACAGATAGTCGATGGAGAGCTATCCCTGTTTGCTGGTTTTGTCGTCGACTAGTCAACTGAAGAATGAACTGCATCAAAACTATTGCGTGATCAGACTCAACGAAGATGGTCCAATAGGACCTGCAATTTCTCACTGAGCCACGCCGACGGTAGCTTACTGCTATGTGGTTGATTTGAGTTAGCG